CGATGAAGCCAAGCTTCGACTTAGCTACTAGGGCAAGCTTCATCATCGCATGACTCCGATGTAGATAATTTCCACCAGTGACCAAATTAGTTACCAGAACCAAACCAGGATGATCGGATCCATGAAGAGAGAGTGGATCTATATCTCGTGTGTAGGTGTACCGCCCAACGATTAGTCGACCTTGCTCATCAATGTTCTGCGCCATCGGAGATTAGAGACCCGCTCTAGATACCATGTAAACTTGAGTTAATATGTCAAATAATCGTTGAAATCACCAACAAAATATACAAAACCTAGATCACCATTAAAGTTGAGCTTGGAGCTCTGTAAATGTTAAATACAAAATTACAGTAGAAAACCCCTAGCTAACACACTTATATCACATGGGGAATAGAGAAGCTAATAGAAAGATAACACATGTGCCAATAACTAAAACACGTGACAAGAAGAAAGTAACAACGGAAAAGAAGTGCGACTTAGTAAGTGTAGCGCGACTTCAGATAAAAGGAGTAATGACAGATAAAATGCTAAAACACTCTGCATGAACATAAACCATGCACGATCAATAACATTAAGCTCCATAATTCCAACAATATACACATACATATAAGTTTAGCTGTGTGTGTGTGTCTGTGTGATGTGTAGATGAAGATGACGACAGAGAGAGAGTGGGTCCACGTGAGTGCACGGTTTTGGAGTTAGTGGTGTCCGCTGTGTTGTGATGATGAAGGTGAGATGTATATTTTGACTGTGATGATGGAGCGTGTTTTACACGCTCGAGAATGTGGCTGGGCAATTGTGAGATTCACTGATGGACGCGGTTCGTGCCTCGTGCTGAAGATTTTGAAATATTATTGTAGAAGCGCCTCATATTTAGCGTAATTGTAAAAAAAACCCAACTAAACGTTCCTATTTTCAGTTTTTCACGCAAGTTGTTGGGTGGGATTGTTAGGCCACCATGTTGGACAAAACAAATCCCATTTCTCAGACTCAGCGAGTTTGTTTATATAAATTTTTAAAAATTCAGAATATTTTAATTCAATTATTTTTTTAACTTAATTTTAATTCAATTTCACTATCATCAATATTATCAATATAATTAAATAATATCAATCATGTGAGCCGTCTGCGTACGGTTGTTTCCTCGTTTGGGGCCGTTCCACATTACCTCGTCTGGGGTCGTTCCATATCACCCCGTTGGGGTCGTTTTATTTTGTTAGTGTCCTT